GTGAAATAGTGGGAGTCCTGCCCGAGTCCTGCCCGTGACAAAGCAAATTAGGGTACTCTAAGGCCCCGATAGATACCTGTTTAGGGAGCCGGTCCCAGGCCTGTGTCTGGCACAGTGCCTGACACGCAAGTAGGAGGCTAAGAAACACCTTTTTGAATAGACGACCCATCAATAATCACACAGTAAAGAGGGCGTAATTATCACTGTGAGTCCTTGCATTACCACCGTAACTTTTCCTTCAAAATGCTGTTGCATCTGCTGCCCCATATACTGTATCGTTTCCTTCTGAGCCCTCTTCTGCCTTAAACGTAAGTGAATCTTTTTTTTTTTTCCAGCCATCCTTGGTTAAGGCTCACCCTGTGTCAGGTGGAGGCTGGCGCCCACCTTTCTGGGTCCTCCTGAGTTCAGCAGAAGAAAGCAGGGAGGTCCGCTCGGTGCACAGGGGCTCTTGTGGGCAGGAAACACTGTCACGGGAAGGAGGACAGGCCCTTGCTGTGCCTGCTGCTGGGGTTGGAACTAGGGAGCTGCAGGGGCTAGAGGTCAGCTCAGGGTAAGGGGAGCCCTTCCTCCCACGGACAGTTGATTTTAAAACTTTTCAATAGGAAAGTCATAATGCAGAATAAAGCAGAAGACTGAAGGTTGTATTTCAGTAAAATATGTACCCTCCATTCTTCCCCGTTCATATCCCACTCCCCATAGCTTATGGCTTTGAGGTTTCCATTCATTGACTCAAAAAATATTTTCAGAGTTCCTAAAGTGTGCAGGCTCAGTTCTAGTTGCTGGGGATACAAAGGTGGAGAAAAGATCTGAGATCTTGTCCTCGTGGGGTTTCCATTCTAGTGTGAGAGTCAGACAATAAAGGAGACGACCAGCAGATGTAAAATACAGTACGGTGAGGGCCGGGGAGGAGAGTGAAGCAGAGTGAGGGGCTAGAGCTGTCTGGGGGTGGGGTCAGGGAGGGCCTTTCTCAGGCAGCAACTCTGTGCAGACTTGCGTGAAGTGAGTGTGTGAACCCTGCTAGTGCCAAATCCTCTTTCCCTCCCTATCTCCCTCCCTCCCCCTCTCTCATGTTTTCCCTCCAGAAGCAGGACCATGCCATACATATTATGTTGCAACTTGGTTTTCTTAATTCATAATCTAATGTAGACTTCTTTTCATGATAGTGCGTAAAGACCCACCTTCATTCTTTTAAAAAAATGTTTTATTTTAATCTTCACCCGATGGCATTTTTTCCACTGCTTTTAGAGAGAGCAGAAAGGAGAGGGGTGGGGAGAGGTAGAGGGAGGTGGGGGGGGCAGTGAGGGGGAAGAGAGAGAGAGAGAGACAGACAGACAGACAGAAATATTGATTGGTTGCTTTTGCAACATGCCAAGACTGGGGGCATCGAATCTACACCTACAACCCAACCCGGGTCTGTGGTCTGACCAGGAATAGAACCCACAACCTTTTGGTTTTAGGGACTGTGCTCCAACCAACTGAGCCACACTGGCCAGGGCTCACTTTCATTCCTTTTTAATGCTGCACAGGGCTCCGTATACACATGTGAACGTACATACTGTATATATGCGTGCATGTGCGTGCGCACGCACGCACACACACACACACACACACACACTCTTGGGGTTCGAGTGGGCTCCTACCCCAGGCACTATGTTGTCGTCACCCGGGTGCAGAGCAGAGCCCAGGAATCCCGTCTGGGGAATGCTGAGATGCAGTGATGTGACCCCAGAGACAGGAACCTGTTGGGCTATTTTTCACCCTCTGACTAGAGTTTTTTTTAAAATAAGTGTTAAGTGACCCCCAACAGCCCCCTCATTCCTTCATCCCCTCATTCTATCCCTATTCTGTCCTTCCTCCTGCACTTCTGTTCAAATCTGCCTGTTCCCGGGGTCTCTCAGGGCACAGCACAGAGGGGTGGTTCTCATTTATGCTGTTTTTCGATTCCTCTGGCTTCTCTAACAGGCATTTTTTATTTTAAGAAGATGGGACATTGCTTAAGTCAAAGGACATGTCACCAGCTGACTGTGGCACTGGCCTGCAGAAGGTGGTTTGGCGGATGTGGCCATGCGGGGGGTGAGATGGGGGTGTTGAGGCCCTTCCTTCCATTAGCAGTGCCTGCCCATGGGGCAGCTTGGCTTGCTTTCTCTATCACCTCTTTTCTTGGGCTGCATTCCCCTCCCAATGCATTGTGTTCACTTATGACATTGACCAGTCAGTCCAATACTTGAGCTTAATTAATAGAACAGAGAACTGTTCTAGTCTAGGCCTGGTGCTACTCCTTAGGTAAGCAAAATGGACAGTTTCTTCCTTTATGAAGGACATGAGTTAACGAGGGAGGGGTGTGGAAAGAGAAAGACAGCAACCAGAAATACACAAATATATATGTAAGAATGCATTTTGCATTATGTTAGGGGCCCTGAAAGGAAAAAGCAGGAAAAAACAAACTTGGGTTAAGAGCAGGTGTCAGGGCCAACCTCTTGGAGGAAAGAGCCCAGAGACTGAGGTTTGAAGGGGTCCAGGGGCTGACTGACTAGGGAGGGGTCAGAGGAGGAGCAGAGCGGGTCGGGGGGCCTGCCCTGGCCTGAGCCTGGGGCCAGACTGAGCTTGCCACATCAGAGACATTGAACTTGGCCAGCGAGGCCGCAGCTTGGCAAGTTGGAGGAGAGTGACCGGAGATTGGGAGGTGGTCTGGCATCATGTCACACCATAGATTTATTCTAAGTGCTGTGGGAAGGCATTAAGAGGTCTTGGGCAGTGAGGTGGTGATCCAGTCCCATTGACGTTTGGTAAAGGTCACTCAGGCTGTTGCAGGGAGATCAGGTGAGAGGCCACGGGAGGAGTCCAAGGAGAAATCAAGGTGACTCGGACCAGGGTGGTGGCAGTGGGGAGGGAGAGAATCAGATATGCTTGAGACGTAGGTTCTACCCCACAGTTATCATCATGCAAGTTGGAAGAGTCCCTGGTGGGCATTTAGTCTGGGCAGGACCTTGGTGAGGGCACGTGGTCCCTGCGGCTTTCCTTGGCCACTGCTGTTTTCTCCCTGGGTAAAGGGGGCCTTGGTCTCTCTTGATGGGCTGCTCTTGGAGACTTGCTGCCTCTGCAGAGCACAGGGCAGCTCTGCTCAGACGTGGGGGAGGAGGCTGGAGGGGGCAGGACCCGGGAGAGACAATGATGCCGAGCACTTAGTAGGCCCAGCCTTTGGGCCCGGCTTTGCTCTCATCTTGCACTGAATCTGCACCCCCTCACTTAGAGGTGGGTAGAGCAACTGCTCCATTTCACAAGTGAGGAAACTAAGACCCTATGAGTGACAGCATGTTGCTCAAGGTGACACAGGTAGCTCAGTCCAATTCCAGAGCCAGTGTTCTCGACCACTGTACTCTTCTGCCCCTGAAATGTAGAGGCTCAGAGGTCAGGGATGGTGAGTTGAGTTTTTAAGTGATTTTTTTACTCACATCCCACCACTGTACTTCTCATTTCTTGTCCCCTCATGTGTCTCTTATGCATTGGGAGACTGTGGGCTTTCAATCCCCAGAGTCCTGGTATAGCAGAACTCTGGCCTGGAGGAAATAGTTCCCTCTTAATCAGAAAGACAAAGGCTATAGGTGGTGGAGTGGTTCTTAGCTGGGGTTTTGAAAGAAGGAGATACAATTCTTGCTATTGCTTTCTGCACATATGAGAGACACACAGAATTAGCACCAAATTTGGAAGCCGATTCTCTTCTCAGGGATATAGTTACAGCCAGGAAAGAGACTTCCCAACTTTGGTGAAAGACTCCCTATGAAGAAGAAGTATTTCTGGGTCCTGCAAGTGAAGTTCAATGTTTGGTTCTCTCTGGCAGCTCTAAATTTAGGCTGTATGATTCACTGAGTCCAGTGTGTGTGTGTGTGTGTGTGTGTGTGTGTGTGTGTGTGTGTGTGTTTCACATACATGTGCCTGTGTAAGAAAGAGGGAAGAAAGTGCATTTTATTCTTGGTGCATGGTAATGCACAACACTTGGATAACTTCTCTCCTCCTTGGCTGGTCAAACATGTGCTTTTATAGCGCGCCCCTGGGTGTCGCCTGCCCAGTGGACACATGCTTTATTTGCAAATGAGGCTCGGATGGCTAGGCTTTCACTGACCATGGGTAATTTTCAAAAACCATAATTTTTTATTTTTTAGAAGCATCTCAGTTAAACAAACAAACAAACATCTGAGAGCCTTGAGGTCACAGCTGGGGTGGGATTTGGATCGCGGGTTCTTTTCTTGCCCACGGCTGCATTTTCTGACTTGGTAAAGGGTGCCCATGGTCAGAGCTGCTAGGCCTTCGATCAACTGTCCATGGTGCTTCCAGAGAACTTAAGTGGTGGCCAGCTCAGAGCTCGAAAGCCAGAGGACAAGCTGATCTCCATTTCCTTTTATCTTGTTTCTTGTTTGTCTTAATTATTGTGCTGTACTTCTATTCTCATGAAGATGGTTCAAAAAGCAAACACTTACAGCTTTATTTCAGAACGCCTGTGGTTGAAGAAAATGTCTCCCATACAAAAGAAAGAAGAACAAGGAATCCATTTAACACAGAATGACTGGAGGGGGAGAAATCACTCATCCCTCATTATTGACGCGTTCCACACAATTAGTGTGATCTTGAGGGAAGAACGTTTGAGCCACCCACACCCTTGCACATTCTCATTGGGTAGATGTAATAATAATGCATTTCACAGTGAACTCTTCCAATACCGCGGGCAGTGATGGGGAGACCCCATCTTGGGGCTGTCAGCCCTGGCTCCCGGAGAGGAGAGTCGTCTTGCCTCCCTCCTCTTTCGTGTAGGGAGAGGTTAAGCCTGGCCATTAACCCATAGGTGACCCAAATAGAATTTTCTGTCCCAGGGATCCGTTGATTGCCAGGTATGGCTTTGTGGTAATTCTAGCATTTGCAACCCAGCAATTTGAACCTTCTGTCTGCCTAAATGATGATTTTACGTTGTAATGGTTGTACTAAATCCTTTTGCTTTTGCTCCATAGCCGCTGTTGTGACAAGAAAAGCTGTGGCAACCGAAATGAGACTCCCTCAGATCCAGTGATAATTGACAGGTAGGGACCACTCTACTTTCACTGGATTCTTATTCCTCATTATAATGAAACACCTGCCTCGTGTCGCTCATGGGTGAGGGTTAGAAATGCATGTGGCCGAAATCTGCCTGCTGGTCATGACCTAATCTGCGCCGAGCTCTTGCGATTCCTGGGAAAGCCGTATGGAATGTTCTTTGGAGGCCTGTTTTCTTGGATTGCTCTGGTTTCGTGTCTGATTCATGCTCCTAAAGGAATCTTTTTTTTCTTTCTTGACTTTCTGTGGCTCAGTCCTCATGCTGTGCCAGGAAGCTTCAGAAATAAAATAATAATAGTTTGTGATTTATGAAATGTGGTTGGGTGCTTATAAATATTTAACTTTTATTTGAAAAATGTTTGAATCATTATCACTTTTAGCTACAGTAGTTCTGTTGGATGTAATCCATCTACATTTTAAGGTTTTATTTATGCATAAAAGCAGTTTTAAAGAGATCTGTGAACCAAGATTTTTTCTCCCGTTACTTCCTGGGTTTGATTGTAGCTTGTACTGTATTGTAAGTTGATTAATTTATCCTGCCTGTCTTAATTATCGTGTTTTTAAACAGATCCATATTACTAATCTGACATGACCAAGTAAATCACTGTGGAACAATAAATCTGTTTTAGTTGTTTGGTGCAATTTCGAGTCAGTGTGTGCTCATATTATGCAAAGTCGCATTCCAAATATTCCTTTTACATTTTAATTATTGAAATTCATTGTATGGGAACATGTATGATAAAACATTTGTTCTATGGCATTACTCACTGAGAGTTAAATGGCTTGGAAGGGTTATAGATACTGTCAGTCGTCAGCCAGGAGAAGAGCTAGCACTCTCCGCTAGCTGGGAAAAAAAAAGTCTTGCAAGTGAGACTGACTGATCCCTCATTGAAGAAATCTATAGCTGAACAAAAGCCCCTTTTGGGGTTTGGTAATAATCAGTTTTTGACAACTTCCCCCCACTTACCTATTTTTCCCAGTCCTTTACCTTTTAGAGATTGGCTTTGTCATTTTTTAGTTAACTGAAAAGTGTTTGCTTCATCATAATTTATGACAAAACACTGATTGTTGATTTTGAACTCCTGTGATTCTTTAGGCTTAAGCCCAATTTTGATTGTCAAGTAGCTTTCTAAAGCTTACAGTTCAGTCTGATATTTTAACTGAATCTCTCTCACTAATATTCACTAACAACATGCATTTTTGCCTGGTAAATGTGTTAATATACTCGACTCAAAGTAAACACAGGTAAATGTTTAATACGTGGTGAGGTTGTGTGCCGCCTGTAGAATTAGAATAGCTTGTTTGTCTGCAAACATGGGCCTGCCATTCGCGCAATTTTTTTTTCTGGAAGGTAAATCTTCAAATGGGATAAAAAAAATAAGTGTAACCTTTATGCTGTTTGTTTCACTTAAATACACCTCTCCAAAATACCATTTGTTATTTTAAGTATGTTTTCCTTACTCATCCATTAAAAAGAAAGTGTTCTGATCAAAGGCTCCGCCCAAATAGTCCCCCAAACTTTGAAATAAGCATTTTGTTCTGCTCCACAGTTCCTTTTGGTTTCGATGATGAGAACAGCCTTACCTTGCCACCCTCAATGAAAACGCTTTTTTTGCTTGTGAATGGGTTAAGCTTTTAAGTTCTTCGTTTGGTTTTAAGCCATGACTCTGATATAGAAGGTTGATATGACTGTGGTTTGAATAACATTTGATTTTGACCTGTTCCTGTGGGTTGCGATGGCATAAGAAACTTGACTCAGCAGCGCTGTAATTAGCCCCGCCGTGTTTTTGAAACAGGATTGTGTTACCTGGATTGCATTAGTGTGGCTTCTATTGTTGCCGCTTTGCATCTGTCCCAGTAGGGTACTTAAAACCTTTTCTTGGCTGGGGTAGTTCAAACAATTTAGGCAAAATAAGTATGCACTTTATACTGTTGGTGGCTTTAGAGATATTACTCATGACATTTATCCTTTTCATTTTTTTTCTTTTTGATTTGACAAAGTAGAAAGCCGTGTGTAGCCAATGTTGGTCTCTTAAGAGAGGAGAATGTTAAAAACAGCTGAAACCCAGTGCGTCTGCACAAGTCGCAACATATGTTTATTTGCTGGCTGTTGCCACTGTCTCCCGTGAACTGTCTTTTTAAGCAGTGGTGCCAGCTGATATGCAAAACCCCATTTAGCTATTCTTATTTCCATCCGAGTTTTCAGAATTTATTTGTCCTTCAGTCTGCCAAAGGTTTTAAAAGCTCCAGTCTTGTCTAGGCTGTTATGTGAAACTTCCATTTTTAACGATGAGAGAAGAGAATAACAAGAAAAGAACTTACACCAGGAAGGACAAAATAGAAAAGATTTTTCAATTCCATAACATTGCTGCAAAGGGGGAAAAAAAAAAAAAAGGAAGGCAACTGTGTTTGAATTTCATAGTTCCCAATTTGATTCTGTATTACTGATTGCATAATATCTGTGTGACATGCTTAGGGTTTGATTTGTTTGCAGATTTATGGATGTGAATCCCTGCATGTTTTGTAAAAATAGGTTACGGGGCCTGCGTCATTCCGTAGCAGTAGTAACTGTTTCTACAAGATGCATACGACATGTAATTATACAGCTGAGGGTCTAGGCAATCGCTGTGTTAGGGTTTAGCATAGTTTTAACATGCAGTTGCCTTTTGGGCACCAATAATTTTTTAGCTCCCTTTGCTTGTCCTTCAGATTTTGGAAGAACACTGCTTAAAAAAAAACCCAGACTTTTAGCAGTGGTTATTCAGGAAAACTATTTATAGGGTAGATAGAAGAGGCTTTCTGGTCATACGGCAGTGGTGCAGGGTAAGCTATTTCTGTGTTGAGTTTTGGCTGTATTATTTGCCACCAGTGATTTGGGGACATCAGCTTGGCATAGTCCATCCAAAAAGTGGAATTAACAAAATGAGCAGTAGTGTACTGTGATTTAGAAAATGGATTCCTACTTTGTTCTTTTATAATAGCAACAGAAAGTAAGAAAAATGCTCCTCTTCACAATTGTGACAATTTGTCGAGTCACGTCCAAAAAGTTTGTTGGAAAATTCCTTCAAATGTAGGAAACGTGCGTCTGGAAGTGACTGCCAGGTTATAGTTCTGTCTGATGCCAAATGGCTTGATTAAGAATTGTAAAACCCAGGCTGTGCCCAGTGATCCAGATATTTGGGCTGTGTAGACATGGGAAATGTCAAATATATTATATTTAATAGCTGATGACCAGGAACTAATAACAGCAAATTTTATCATTGTTGAGGTAAAGGGCTATGTGTAGTAATTACTGTTAACGTAAAAAGCAAAAAATGACTTGCAGTTATTGAATTAAGGTTGAGATTGATTTAACATATTCACACAGTAACTCAGATTTGAATTTAAAAGGTTCGCAATAAAATTCATGTTTAGAAATTGAATAAATTGTAGTTTTATTACCACATTGGATATCCTTGTGTCCTAACCTTTTTCCTTGGAGTTATCTTAGTTCAATAAATAAAACCTCATTAGACTATTCCCATTTCAATGAGTTTATTAAATTTTGCAGGAGTAATTAGCATAAGCTGTGCTAATTTTTCTGGAAGACTAATGAGGGAGGTTCTTAATTAGGTTTACTTTGTAAGAATCAGAAAAAATGATAATAGCAAAAGTCACATAGGGTAGTCTGAATTGGGAACCCAGTTTTTCTGAATCCGTAAGAAAAAAAAAACAAACCCTTCCATTTTCTAAGTGGAAACTTCTCTATAAATGCCTGAACTGAGTATGTTAAGTGTGCAGAATGTCATTCTGTACCTAGTTTGTTAGGGTCACCATCCACTCTTGACGTGCTGCACCAAACTGCTGCTTCTCCTACCCTGGCCTCAGTCAGCTATCTTTGAGTAATGATGTGGATGAATACAGATTGTCTTAGGGAAACATGTCTTTCTCCAAATTATACTGTAGGATCCCTTCCACGCAGAGCTTGAAATTTTTTTTTGCCAGATTTGTGTCACTCATTTTCAGTGGAGCAGGATGGAGGGTGACTCCATATTTGTCTGTCTGTTTGGGTTTTCAGTGTAGGATCAGCATGATTGATGGGGTTGTTAGACCACTAAGTGAAGGGGAAAAATAAGAGCCCAGTTCTTTATTTCCTTGTCCTGTGGATTCTGAGCAGGTAACAGTGGGTTTTTGAAAATAGAAATAATTAAGGATGAAATTCTTGCTCGAGTTACCTTCTCCTGTCTCGTGTGAATTTAGACGGAGTCTAGCCTGCGAGTTTGGGGTTCCTCGCAGCCAGTATAAAAAATGGATCTTTAAAGCCTGTCAGCCAAGATCCCTCTAAAGGTTTTGAGTTTGCTTATCATAACCTTAAAAGATTTGTCTTTTCCACTCACACAAATTCTTTTGCCTATATTTGAGGTGTAAGCTTTGCCATGTAACATAAAAAATATAGTGTGTGTATATATATGTGTACACACACACATTTCATAGCCTGAGAAACCTAGTCTGTTTGGAATTACTGTTCTTCCACTTACTCAAGGATCTCCTAAAAAGAAATAAAAGCCTATAAATTTTTTCCAGTATTAAAAAAAATCTTCCGTTTAGGTTACATTAATTTGTTTTTTTTATGATTATTAACTGAAATAGAATGTTCAGGGGTAAAAAGATTAGAATGCTTATTTTACCTGTTGATTTTACGTAATACACACACACACACACACACACACACACACACACACACACAAAATATATAGAAAAGCTTAACCATCTCAGGGTTGCTCAAAAAACAGTTTTATTTAAGATCTATTCTTCATCCAGGAGATACAAACATTTTGATAGGACTTTTCAGAAAAGTGCATTATTATCATATCACCAAGCTGATTTTTTAATTAAATTGATCCTGATGTATTTATATAGCATGTATGTTTATTTGTATACTAGTGAAACTGGAGAATTAGGAGGTAATTGTGTGAGGGATTTTCAGCCAGTGAGCGAGCTGGGGTAT